AAGAGTAATGTGTTTTTTAATTTTGAAAAATGTTTAGAATTGTTTTTTTTAAGAACAGAAGGTTCCTATTTCTGTGATTTATTTTTGTACTTAGTCTTCTATAACTAAGAGATACAGACTGTTGATTGTTAAAGAATTATTAATAAAGAAATTTAGTTTGATTTGTACCTACTAAATTGTGTTTTCTTACTAATCTATCACCCAATAAACCCGTACTGCTGGTCGCAGACTGCGCTATGAGTTGTACTCATTTATAAATATTACCAAATGCTATTACATTTTTAAGCATGTTGACTTTTCAAAAGGGAGTCAACTCAAAACCAAATTTATCAAAGTAGGTTCAACTCTAAATAATTATAAAATTTACACGTGTTTGTTAAGTAATAGGGAGATAACTCAAAAATTCCTATTTTCACCCCCAATATAAGTCTGTATCACAATATTGCTCTATCATGTTTCTTCCAGTTCCACTTGTATTATCACAGACTAATAAAGAACCCATCTGCAGTACAAAGTTATAGCATAATCAGTTTTTCGCTTGTTCTGAAAAATATGCTTTTTCGAGTTAACCCTGTTTAGATCTAGGTGTGCGATATTCTCGCTTGTCAAGACAGATATATATTCCGAGGTTAATCCGCGAGGCTATCGAAATTAAAAAACACCCCAATTTCAATAGAGATGGCTGGAACCTATCAAACACCTGAGATCCTCTTCTTAAAAATATTAAATCCCATGTCCGTAACCACACCGCAGGATCTCGAGACAGCGATGGCAGTAGGAAATAAAATAAGACCGACTGAGAGACACTTACATCTCGTCTTAATGATCACGGTTGATGAAAAGTAACCGAAACGTCGGGAGTATGTAGTTTATAATCAAAAATAAACCATGTAGTATCCAAAAATATTAGTTTCATTTAAATGAGTACTCGCAAAAATCTTAGATCTCATAATGCATTTTTTTTATTTTGCTGAATTATAAAAAAAATTCATAACTCAGACTACATCTTAAAACATATTCAAATTTTTTTAGTAAACTTTTTTTATCAAATTGATATAAGAAACTAATTTTTTAAGTTTTTCTATGTAATTGAATTAAGTATTACATATGACTTCATTTCAATTTGATGTTTAACCTTCGGCATACAAGGTGGGGTTATTTTAACCCCAACACTTTTAAATTGTGTTGATTTTATATTAAAACGAAACTAAACAACTTGATTTTCACAGTAGCTGGAGATTAAATATTGCCGCGTTAAATCACAGCGTCGGATCAGTGTTGCGCGCGCCAGCGCCGTGTGTACACGCGCCCAAAGTGGTTCCCGGGTGTTTTTAACCCCACGTTGTATGGGTCGTCGTGAAAAAAGTTTGTACCTACTTATGTGTTTTTTATGTTTTTACAGCTACAATAAGTGTTTTATTTATACTTTTTTATTTTTATTTCAGGTATAGATCGTCAATATGAATAATAACCTGCGGGATGATAGTATTGCTGCGGCCTTATTGGAAGAAAATGAATCTTTGTCGGATGATGAAATCTTTCTGCCTTCTAGTGATGACGAATCGGATCATATCAGCGATGCTTCTGAAGTTCCAAGTGATACGGACGTGGAAGATGCCGAAATAAACATTGAACCACATTCAGATGATACGACATCAACACTTCAACCATTTTATCTAGGAAAAGATGGAAGAACAAAGTGGTATAAATCGCCACCGCGAACCAATGTTCGAACAAGGGCCGAAAATCTTATTACTCATTTGCCTGGATGTAAATATGCAGCTCGACATAAAAAAACTCACCAAGAATGCTTCGAGACCTTTTTCACTGATGAAATCGTTGACATTGTTTTGAAGAATACGAACCAGAAGATTTCTTTGAGAATGGAGAACTCTACGTCTAATTCAACATACGGGGAAACTGACAAAGCTGAGATAAAAGCCGTTTTTGGGCTGTTGTTCTTGGCAGGGTTGTTTAGATCTGGTCGGCAAAGTCTTATAGACTTATGGAGTAATGACGGCACAGGAATTGAAGTATTTAGAAATACTATGACGAGGCAAAGATTTTCGTTTTTGATAAATAGCTTGAGATTTGATGATTCATCAACTCGTACAGCTAGAGTGGCTGACGATCGCTTGGCTCCAATTCGAGATATTTTTGAAATATTCGTCAAAAACTGTCAGAATGCCTATACACCGTATGAATACTTGACCATAGATGAAGAACTCGTGGCATTTAGAGGAAGATGTAGCTTTCGTCAGTACATACCATCCAAGCCAGCTAAGTATGGGTTGAAAATTTACGCGTTAGTGGATGCTAAAACATTTTACACAATGAACTTGGAAATTTATTGTGGAAAACAGCCTGACAACAGTCCTTATACAGTGAGTAATAAGCCTTTTGATGTTGTCGATCGTTTGGTGAGATGCGTGTCTGGATCAGGAAGAAACATCACCATGGATAACTTTTTTATGAGTTATGAAACAGCTGAAAATTTGCTCAAAAACCACAAATTGACTGCCGTTGGTACACTAAGGTCGCACAAGACATGCATTCCACTCCAGTTCAAGGCTCGACGTGAAGAAAAATCATCTGTTTTTGGATTTCAAAAAGACATTACTATTGTATCCTACATACCAAAGCCGCGAAAATGTGTACATATGATGTCCTCATTACATCATGATGATGAGGTGGATCCAGAAAGCGGAGACCAAAGAAAACCGTCTATCATCACATTTTACAACTCGACAAAAAGTGGAGTTGATGTAGTTGATAAACTTGCGAGAACATACGATGTCTCCCGCAACTGTAAGCGCTGGCCTCTTACCGTATTTTTTTCCATGTTGAACCATGCTGGTATAAATGGTTTTATTGTGTATATGCTGAATAATGGCATTGAAAGGAACAAAACCAATCTAAGGAAGAACTTTATCAAGCGATTGGGACTTTCTTTAATCGAAGAGCACCTCAGGAAAAGAAAGGATAATCCACATATACCACGAGAAATAAGAAGACGTGTGTGTGAAATGCTGAATGAAGAAGCTCCAGCACCACCACAAAAGCAACCAAGAAGGTCTCAGCGATGTTCTTTCTGTCCAAGAAACAAAGATAGGAAGACTCTGAACGGATGTTTCAAATGTAATGTCGCGATATGCAAGGAACATGCGAATTTGATGTGTCAAAATTGTACTGATTTACATGACGAATGATCTCGCTCAAATAGCCATAAAGAGCTAATTGTGATGTTTTTTATAAAGCCAAATATAGTTAGTTTTAGTATAATAAGTAAAATAATTAAGATAAGTATGAGAAATATTTTTGTTAATTTTTTATTCCACCTAATAACATTTTGTAAGATTTATGGAGAGGTTATGTAATTTTTAAGTTTTTTTTATAATAAATGTTTAATTTGCTACTTTTTGTACTTCATTAATTAGATTTAATTATACCCGTCACAAAAAACCCATTCAAACTTATTACATAAGATTTACACACAGATTAGAGATAATCTCTTGTGGGGTTAATTTTACCCCATGTTGTATAGGTGAGGATTTTTTTTCACCTTGTATGCCGAAGGTTAATTACTTGTATGTGAGTTTCAATGAATTTTGATGACTTCTAATTATATCTTGGTAACAAAATCTCATCTACGACTGTCCGGTCACAGAAAGTGGTCACATATTTGTTAAATGTTAATAAATTTTATAATTCCTTAATTCATAACATTTTCTCATTAGTATAACATAATGATAGATTAGATTTCATGAGTTTAGATAATATAACAATAAAAAGACAAATAATGTATTAGTATTTTTTTACTAGAAAAGACGAGACGAAACCTCTTAGCTCAATGGATTCACCTTGCGGGTGCCGGGTCCATCACTACTTTTTACAAGAATTAATACGAAATGTTTGCATAAAAGTGACTAGTAATTCAGTCAATTCAGAAATCCAAATTTTAGACATAGAATCGTGGATAATGATTTGTTAAATTGACGAATATTTCAACGAAGAAATACTTTTGATATGTATATGTATTTACAATATATATAAATAAAGATAAAATATAATTTTAAGTGTAATCAGAACGATAGTGTGTACAAATAGAAGTAGTTTGTGAAAGGCCTGTATGAGTCACTATGTAGCAAGTTGGACGATTTTATCGAAGTGCAGATCGAAAGTAATTGTTTAATTTATAATAAAATCAATAATAAAAGTTCAGATTCTAGTCACATTATACAAGCAAGTATATTTTCGTACATAAATAAACAAAACAACATAAAATATTATTCTCAAAAGTATCGGTGTGTGGTATTTTTATTCATTTCATCCTAATGAAAAGCTGTATGCAATTCGATCATATTAAGTATGATAATCACCTGATATACTCGGCGCTCACTTACAAAATACACTTATATCAGTAGAACACTTATAAAATAACTTATTAATTTACAGAATTACACACAATTTACACAGAAATATCTCAAAAATACACAAACACACGCAAAAAACAGTATTGAGTATAGACTCGGAAAGGCGTGTCAAAAACAATGTCGCAGTGCTACCAGTTAAAAAATTGATATTTGCATACTGTTGCCAGTCGTGTAAATTATTAAGATTTAATAGTTTCTTTTCATTGTTTATGTAAAATGATAATATGTGAGTTCAAATCAAACACGAATATGCTAAAAAGTTATAAATTTAATGTTGAATACATTAAATCCAAGTAAATATCATCTTCATTATTGTTTTTATAGTTTTGAAACTAAAAAGACGCATTTATATACTTATCACAATAATTTTAGTATACATTTTTTATTTCTTTAAAGATAACATATTTTAAATAAAAAACTGAGTATTAGTGATGTACGCTTTTCTTTTATTTGGGCTCTAATATCCAAAACTCAACTCTAATCTACAAAAGATGCCTAAATATGTTGAAAGATGAATAAAAATTGGAATAGTTAGAATATTTATTAACTTTAATAGTTTTTCAATGGTTAAATCTCAAACGCATCTTCTAACTCTTTAAATACATCAGTGAAGGTCTCCGTCGTGGTGGTAGTTGGTGCAGACATTAACATTTTAAAGTCATTTCTCATTGTATCTTCTATATTTTTCATCTTTTCATCATTCTCTACATTTCGTAAATCAGATTTCTTTAAATAATTATCTAAACTAAACTTCACAGTTTCATTAGTAACTGTTTTGTTTGAGTCAACTAAATTTGTGTCTTCCGGATTATTTAAATCTAAATTTTCGATCTCGCTAGACAATTCTGCGTCAGTAACGTTTTTATGTTGTATTTCATTGTAAACATCGCTTTGTGTAGTTGTAGTAATTGTTACAGTTTTTGGCGATGAAGTTGTAGCTTGTGTAGTTGTGACAACTGGCCTTGAAGTCGTAGTTGTGCGATGTGATCTCACTGTTGGTATAATGACTTTATTCACTCTTGTAGTTTGAGTAAAGTTGAAATAGTTCTCAATGGGTATATTAGCACGTCTCATGGCATGTTTTATGGTAGTTTTTACTGATTTATGGTCTTCTGTATAGACATTTTTAAAGCTCTTACGCCGATCGTCATCAGAGCGTGCCTCTGAATCTTTTTCAGCAGTATCAACATTCATCATCGTTCTTAGAATAGCTTCTTTCGCTGTACTCCTAGTTTTGGGAGCGCGTGACCTTTTTTTAGTTATATGTTTTCTTGTAGTTTTTTTATGTAAACTACCAAATGTTTCAGCAGACAGAGTAGCTTTGGTTGTGCGATGTTTTTTGTGTTTCTTAGTTTTTTTCGTCGATGCCCTCTGAGAAAGTCTGTGTTGATAGCTGAAAATAGGTAAAATATATGACTTCCATTACTATAATAATAATAAGATCTAAGATTTTCTTGAATATAAATTGAAATAAATTAAAATAAACCATGAACACGCTTGCTGCAAAGTAAACGAAACATCGAAAGTATGTAGTTATATTAATAAAAATCGTATGGTATACGAAAATATTAGTTTTGTTATTTTAATTGCAACTATGGTATTAGGGTTTAGGCTGAACTTTGCAAGAAAACAAATAATTATGACAAACAGACAAACAAATGCAGGAAAATTACATATTAGGAAATCTAATTACATCTTTAAACATAATGACTTTTCCTTAAAAATCTAGTATAATATATTACTTATTTTTAAGTAGACATACTTATTCTTATTAAAGCTGTTTTCCTCTTGCGAATCTTTATGTTTTTTGAGCATTAAATTAACGTTGATTTCAAGCGAATGGTTTGCGAAGATCTCATGAGTGGCGACGCCGTCTTGAGCTTTGAATAGATGCCCAGAATCCTCGGCACGATCTTCGTCTTTTTCTTTCTCAGTTACATCTTCTAATTGATATTCTCTTACTGGAAAACCAGTTCTGAACTCATGTTTTTGGGATTTCGTTACTTTTGTTGTTTTTGGATACAAATTGTTGTTTTTTGGTATTTTTACTGTAGATTTCTGTGTGGCGTCTGTAAATGGACTGACATCTACCGCTTGTTCTACTGATTCGCTTGTTTCTTCGTTAGTATTTACGTATTTGGTCGTCTCTTCGTTTTCAGTAGGTTTGATTTTTTCGTCGTTCGGTACATCATCTACAAAGAATGATCTTACGTATTTTTTTATATAGCGTCTCTCATCTCCCTGTAAATTATTATAATGTTCATATATCACGTCGTTTATAACTTTTTCGATAATATCTTTCAAGTCCACTTTGGATTTCCTGGTACTCCGTCTGAATATGTTCAATTTTTTTACGAATTTCTTTAGTTTATGTTGTGCGTCACGTTCGTATAGCGTGTTTATGAAGCCTAGTATGTAGTTGCTTTTATTTTGTTTATCATTCCTCAACTCTCTTAATAGATCGTCTAAATCACTTCGTATTTCAACTATCGGTTTCTGTCTTAATACCGATAGTTTGCCTGATAAATATCTTCTCCCGTTTTCATCCAAAATATCATTTCTTTTGCGTTTCTCGACATTCTTCTTGATGATATTGAATATTTCCAATAAATCATCGTCTTCCAATGATTGTACTTCTATTATAACGTCTTCTAGAAAATCTGAGAACTGATAAAGATTCTTCCTCCGAGTAGATAGATCAGTTCTGTGATTTTTGTTCAATAGTCTTTGTACTTTTGTGAGGAAATCTTGAACATTATTGACGACTTTCACGTCGTCGAGTTTGTCGAATTCTACAACAGTCTCCAAAGCCAGATTGACGCTTCGATGTTTGGAAGCAATAGATCTCTCTGGTGGAAGTACGAAAATTATGCTAAATTAAAAATTTACATCTAAAAAATAATTGAAATATAGGCATTGGCTCTTTATAATAATATTTTTACAAAAAGATAATACAGCTAAAGAATTCAACAGGACTAAACAAAAGCAAATAATACCCAAATATGAAAAGCAAAAAAAAAAATATAATAATAAAAATATGAATATTTTTGAGAAAAATAGAAAAGTTTCTTTACCTATTGCAAGAACGATAAGCCATAACGTGAGTCGAGACATTTTATTGTAACATTTATAGTTTATACTAAGCAAATACTTTGACTCGTATTCATATTTATTCTGAGTACATTTCTCCGCGCAAATTCATGCTCGATTGGCATTGTACCATTAAAAATCTTTCCGCCTTACCAACATAGAGAAAATACTTAATTTTTAAGCTATTAAGATTATTTTCTTTTATCGTATAGAATAGTATTATATTTTATAAGATTTCGTAAAACAAATACTTCTTTTTTGGACATTTATACGTCGAAATTCTCTCATCTTTAAATAGGTTTATGGCGCCTTTTTTTCATTTACTTTTTCTTCACCAACAAACAAACATTCCCACACAAATATTAATATCAACCATAAAATGTATTAGAATATTGTAAGAAACATTTCAGTCTAAAATATTATAATAGATGAAATTCAATGTTACTGTTGGATATGAGATGTTTTATAATCATTAGCATTCTGGAAAACATTTGTATGGTTCAGGGTAAGTCATTTTAAAAAAATCTGTAATCTGTGAGGTAGAGCCTAGTTGTGGTCAATTCACTACATCTCGAACATGTTCTGTCTCGACCGTAAGTACCACCCTCTTACTGAAGATCGGCGTGAAGTAGACTTTAATGGATGCGTTTTGTATGATGTGTGAGAGAGACGGCTGCCCTTTCCCATTTCCCTCCCTTTCCAACCTTTTCCCCCTATTCCTCAATCAAGGGTACACATCCGCAAATACATGTTTCGTATGTCCATGGGCGACGGCACTACCTCAATAAGCTTGGCCGTCTGCTCGGTTGCCCCTTTAACATAAAATATATCACTTAATTTTAGGATACCAAAGACAGATGGATCACGTACTTACAACAAAAAAGTCGTTTTACCTCAAAAGTAACCAGAGGAGCATGGACGTGAACTATAAATATCAAGATTGGGAACCAAAATCACCTGGTGTTTATTATGATTATGATTTGAAAACAACAAAATCGACAACAGAATTGAAAGAGGTAACAATTCAAACGAACACAGAAACAACAGCAGTTACGACCACGGAGGTGACAACACTTAGCATAGAAACAACAGCTGCAACGGAAACAACAGTCCCAACAGCAACAACAGTTCCAACAGTAACAACAACTCAAACAAAAACAACAAAAGGAACTATAAGCGTAATACACAACTATACTGACACTGCTACTACAGAAACTACAACTCTCACTTCAGAAATAATAGATGAAGGTATCCAAGAAATAAACGACACGGTTCCTGAAACTAATTCTAGTTACACTACTCTTGAGATAACTGGTAAATAAAACTCTATTTTAATTCACAACTATACTTTAATGATAGGTTTATAATTTAACTGTAATAAATAAAAAAATAATTTACTACTTCATGGAAATGAATGAATGAACTTTTGACCTATCTTTTGTAGTGTTAGTAGCGTCCCAAACGAAAACAACAAAATGTTTTATTAAAGCCGAAAATATAACTGATTTAATTTTAAAGAACTAAAGAATTTGTTAGACTGCACTTATAAGTTGAATAATATATAATGTAGGCAGATAATATTTTAAGATAAGCGAATGTATTAAATACAACGAGATACTGAAACGAATGTCCATAATTATAGCTAGTCTTCGCTATTTTAGTGAATGTTTTGGGTAATGTTAATTACGTAGCCTCAATTTGTCGTACGGACGGATATTTGAAAAAGTCAATAAAACTTTGCTTAGCTTCGGTGTAGACTAATATAGTACATTAATTAAATTCCCTTCAATAATTCAGATCTTCTCACTAATACGTTGCCTGCTGACGCGACGCTAGAAGATTTGTTACATTGGTTCGCCTCAACCAGTCCTGATGAGTACACCACACTCATACCACCACCACCTACTATTAACGTGCTAAGCCTCATGCCTCATGAGACAGAAGACAACGTTCTTGATCACTGTACGTATTTCTTCTTCTTCCTGACAATCTCCCAGCTTTAGCCAGGGTCTGCCTAATCTGATCTGATCTGTTCTGATCACTGTACGTATTTCTTCTTCTTCCTGACAATCTCCCAGGTTTAGCCAGAGTCTGCCTAATCTGATCTGATCATTGTACGTATTTCTAGTCAGTACATTTGTAAGGTAAGAACAATATTAAACAGAATTAAACACGATTTGGTGGCATATAATTTTTTAATTAGAATTTTTTATTTACACCTTTTTTTTGGTCTTATCTTACAGGAGAAATATGTTATATATTAGAAGATTTTTTTGTTATTTTACGGTCTACCAGATTAAATGCGTATTTATTGCGAACATTAGAAACAATTTATATTCTGATGTTGGCAAAATGTTCTTAATTTTACGTCTGAATGAATAAATCTGTCCCCGACTGAGATATAGGAGCCTATACAACATTTCTAACTAATTAATATTTTACACCAGTGGACCCTTGGACAACGACTACCAAGAATCCAATTCTTGAAGAAATTAAAGACGAAATAAATAAAACCAATGATTACTTCGCATCAAGTGTTCGTGAACTGGTAATAGTGCTGTCACATAAAAATTCCAGCCATGTTGACACACTACTTATGGATCTAAATTCCAGACTAGCAAGGTCAGTGACCCCCAAAAAAAATCCAATCTAAAATGTAATAAACACCCTTTATTTAAGACTTGTCGCTGATAAGTAATGATAGGGTAATCCAGAAGAATATATGTACATACAGAAAAGTCAGTAATTGATTATAAGACTATTCTTCGGCTGAACGGATTTTGATGAGCCTTCGATAATTTTAACTGCAGATATTGCAAAAGGAGAAGTTATGGAACGTCTCAGAGTAATTAATATTTATTGAATAAACAACAACTTTATACTAAACTCGATTGTGAATTAAATTTTATTTACTTTTTTATGCATTATTATAAGAACAATAAGAAATTCCGAGGACTAGATAAGATTTTAATATTACCCAAAACTATGATACTAAATAGCTTCTAAATGGGAATCTAAAGTAGGTATTGTAATGTAATATGTTGTTTATTGAAACAAAAACTGTAGCTGTTCCTCTGAAAATAGAAATTTATTTTATGAAAGTTTGATACAATCAATAATATATTTGCAAATACAATTTACGACTACCTATATATCTAGTACAAATTAACATTATATTATTTACTAACCTGTAAAAAGAAACAACATTAAAAGCTATTGCTTCAATGTCTATTTTAAACAATCGTTATTCCTTTTCAAAAGTCTTACTAAACTTAAATGTACAAAAAAACCAGAGCGCCTTTTTCTACAGATTAAAATATATAATGAATACAAAGTAAAAAGTACTTCCACCATATATATCCTTTATATATATGGTGGAAGTACTTTTGAAGTACTTTACCATAGATAATAAATTATAGTAAGTAATGAACAAGTGTAATTATCTATTAATTTAAATGAAGAGTAAAAGAGCATCATTTACAGTAATAATAATGAAATTTCCCAAACAGCGCAATGGAAAAAAATACGTTGGCGATGTTCAGCGGCTTGATGATTGGAGCGTTCCAGGCGCTGCTTCAGATGTTGATGTTAGCCACGGATGACGTGAGGCAAGGTATACAAACATATAACACACTTCTAGTTATAAAAAAACTACCAATTTGTAGTATAGTAGCTATAAGACTACGATTTGAACAGCAACAAACAAAAAACTTCTTTACTATTGTTATTTTTTCTTCAATGACTTAGGGAGAGTCTGTATTCACTGGCCTTCCATCTTTTTAAGGGGAAATTAAATAGCAACTACTCGCTTACTCAATAACAATATCGAAAACAGTAAAGCTTATTACTATAGTCAGATCAAAAGCAAATGCCCAATTTTGAACGACAATAAAAATGTTTGCTCCATAAATAGTCAAAATTATTCACCAGCATTATAATAAGATAAAAATTAATATCGACATTTTAAATGCTATTGTTTGACAGAATATTTTAACTACGCCATATACGCGCTGGAGAACCGACATACAGCCTTCGCAAGCGACATAAACGCTGTATTTGATGTCGTGGAAACGATTTACACGGATAAAGACGTAGCTGAAATCTCAGATATTATTAAGAAAGTCGAAGCATATCCTAATATTACTGAGGATTCTGACACGTTAATTGGTGAACTGATAGAAGCGTATATCTTGAAGCCGCACGCGAATATCGTGGGTACTGCTAAAGAGAAATTACTCTTGATGGAACTACACACGGCTCTTGAGGATAGGTTGTTCCCTGGACACGACCTGGGACGAAGATTTGGTAAAGAAAGAAAAGGTGAGTAGAGTATTGTAATGTTGATGTCTTTGGCATAAAGACTAAAAAGAAATTTTATTTCATAGAAATTTTACAAGTTTTATTACGTTTTCTTTCATATAATATGTGGCAGGAAAATTCAAAATGTATTAGTAGATATGTATCCGCCAAAGAATGATCATTAAAATATTATTATATTAATATTTAAGGTATCTTTAGACAGTGATTAAGCATTTTTTTGGGTAATAATAAATTATTAAAATTATCTTCTTCACAGAAAACATTTCAGCGAAATTTAAGTCGATTACAAAAACAGTAAAACACAACTTGATTTCAAGAAAATACTTAAAGAGAATTGATAAAATCCAAAAAACTACAAAACTTCCGAAATATAAAAATGATCAGAAGCAGAGAGCAAGAAACGTAAAGAAAATAAAGAGCAAAGAACAGAGAAAGAAGGAGAGAAGATTAGTTGAAAAAGAACGGAAGATCATAAGAGCTTCTTCAAACAGTAGGGAGAGTTCACTTCAATCAATATCAAGTACGAGCAGCGAATCAGAAGAGACTCAAGATAGCGATATTGTCAGATATAAATTAGAATCTGCATATTCCCACTCCAGAGAAACAAAAAGAAAAAGACTCCAAAACAAAGCTATGAGATACAAAGCTCATTCAAAACAAATAAAAACAAAACCAAACAGATATAGAAAATTAACAACGCCAAACGACGAAGAAATGTTGAAAATTAGACTAAAAGACGCCTTGCTACACACGACAAAATTAAGAAGATTTGGACATAAACTTGACAGGCTCACGAAAAAGGATAGTTACAGCGACGATGAGGCGATACTGAAATCAAAAATATACAAAGTGTTTGGGTTCAATCATGACATCAGTGAACAATCTGTAGCTGTTAAAAGGACAAATAATGTTTGAAATACAAATATATATACAATTTTATGTAATATTAGTGTTAAGTCGACTTCGCCCGCGTAAATTCGTCATTAGTAATATATGTCTAGCTGACTGGGTGAACTCTATTCCGCCTTAAAGGCCGTACATAACCATATATTAGAATTTATTGTTTTTTTTTTCAATCGTATGTAAAGTATCCTATGTCCTCTCTATGTTCTAATCTATCTCTCCACCAATCTTCATCCAAACCCGTATAGTCCTCAGAGTTATAAATAGTGTAACTAACTCGCCTTTTTTTTATATATAGATTCGTAGCTTTCAACAAAGATAATGTCTTAAATATAAAGAATTACTATTTATAACTAAGTATAATCTCATTGTAATTATGATTTTGCTTTTAAAAACACAGAACCCTGATAGTGAATGATTTACCAAAAACTTGAATGAATAATTTCAAAATTTAACATAAAAATAAAATAAATAAATAAATTTTCAATGAAACTAAGGTTTCCGAGTACTAAGTACGTGCTTTTTATTATTTTTAAACTACATAATCCCGACATTATTTTACAGCAACCGTGTTCACCTAAAAAACTTTGTTTCATTTGATTGAGTGCACGCGAAAATTTTAACAATATTAATGAAGTTACATTCTCATGAGACTCTCTTCTTAACTAAGATTTATTTGCGATCTTATTTTATTAATTTGATGAATTTCAGAATTATCACGAAAGTCCTGGTTTTCAGAAGAATTTTATATAAATTTTAATCACGAACAATTCATTCAAATATGATATTTAACTTGTGGATTTAATTATAAAAAAACGGTTTAATTCCGAGGGAATATTTTTAACCTCGAAAAGGATTAGATATATTAAATTTCTAAAATTAGAACCATTAATAATTTTAAAAACAAAAACATTTATATTATTTATTTTTCTACAAAAGAATACAGTTTCATATAATATTGAGACATAAGCTACTATTGTAGGTATATATAGAGTAAATTCATTTTCTACAAATAATTCCTAGGTTGTCCCAATATAAATTTAAAGCCATACAAAATTTCAATCAAATTTGAAAGATTGAGAAGTAAATTATAAGGAGTAGAGTAAAAATCGACACAAAAAAGAAATTGGCTGAGAGAAAGTACCAATAAGAAGCAAGATTTGTTACAAAAATAAAAAGTGTATAGATCAATATCAAAAATTTCAAAACAAAAAATATTTTAGTCGAGAAACTTCATCCATAATCGTTATAAGAACAAACTTGGTCTAGGATATACTTATAAGGATTATTGTATTTACAACTAATGCTAACACTTTAATACCTAATTCATGTAAAATCTTATCTTCGTAATGACCTTTATTTATTCTATACATTTTTATTTAAAATATAAGTATTTTTTAACGAAAAACTTCCATCCATCGAACGTTCAAATCCATCGAACGTACAAGTTTGGACTTTTAGTTTTATTCAGAACAATAAAATATTTCGCAATAAATTCTACAAACGTTATTTCATAACATGCAACGAATATTCCAGTGTGATGCATAACATATTTATTATTATAAATAATAAATATTTCATTTTATTTAACTTTCTACTCATCTCTACGTGTGTGGCGAAAAGAAGTGAGTAGTAAATGTAATGTAGTAGCAATCTTACTAATTATCTACCTGGCAATTTCCCAGCTTCAACCAGGGTCTGCCTTACATGTTGTGAATAGTTTTGGCTTATTGTTCTTACGACCGGCCGCCTGCCTGACATCAACCCTCTTTGGGAATGCATTAATCAGTGGTGTCTAAATACTCTTAGAAAGTGCATATGACTCGGAAAAATCATACTATAATAATAATTACTACTACTAGCAATCTTACTAATTATATCTTCGAAATCTGGCAAGTACCAATGTGATGTTCCCGAGTCATATGTACTTTATAAGAGTATTTAGACACCACTGACAGATGAAGGAAAACATCGTGAGGAAACATGGACTTATAATCAAATTATAAGTTTGAAATCGCCAACTCGTCTTGAGCAAGCGTGGTGATGATGAAATAAATAATATAGTTATATCATAAATGTGAAATTACATTTTTGGTTATCATATTTAAATACTTTATATAATAATAAAGTTATTTTACTCGCAATATTTTTCCAGAACACAATTATCAAAGGTCATTATACTTACGGAATGGAAAAATTTGGAATGTTGAGAGATTTAACGCGAAAGGTGTCGGCGGATATGATTACAAAGATTGGGAAGCAAAGTCACCTGATCTGTACGACTATATATTACCAAAAACTAATAGCACGGTAGTGACTGAACACACAAATGCAACTGAAACTCCAACAACAGAAGAGACTGAAACAACAAATTCAACAACAGAAACACAATCCGTAGAATCTACTGAAACAACAGTTACAACAGATATTTATCACGTCGTAACTACCCTTACTATATCACTTCCTTTAACACCCCCAACCACTTCCACAACTGAAAGTACTACAGAAGTAACGCCTACAAATGAAATACCTAGCTTATTTGCGTCCGATGGTTTCGTATTTCAACATCCATCTGATACTACGGCTACAAGCGGTGAGTTATATATAAGATATTTAAGACATCCTATAAGTTACACCTCTTCGTACATCAGTGGCGTGCACTCCATAGATACAAATAAGCACTGCATACCCTACCTATATAACAACTAAACCTATATTGATTAATTCTTACTTACATACTTTTAATACATTACGAAATACAAATGTTTACAGACTCTAAAATACATTTGAATCATGATTTTGTATTGTTTAAAATCTCGTAGAAAGTCCGTTAATAGTCAAATGAAACGGGACTCTCTGATCAGTCGGTAAACTGTTCATATATTTTTTCACCATTTTATAATTAATATCTGGTTACCGAGCTTTTCTCGGTATATAGGAGTTTTTAAAGGTAAATATAGGAGTATTTAAAGATATAAGATTAAATATTGTCATTTGTCTTTCTAAGCGCATGTGAATAAGTTTTAATTAGTAAACAGTGGATGAATTTATTAACGAATTATGGAAAATTATAGCTGTGAGCTCTGTTCTTGTGATGTGTGTTTATTGATATTAGTTACGAGTAAATCTTCAATATTGTCATTTGATAATAAAATTAAAATAAGTGTAAAGTCAAGGTGTGTGACCAGTTGAGATTGAACTAAAAGAAAGGTAATGTTATTCGTTTTAATAAAAAGTTTTATGATAGTTTTAATTAGTTAGTAGGTTGTGTACACACAAATTAGTTATTTGTTTGCCTTGTTTGTTGTTTTCAAATGATTATAATAAGAATTTTTGAATCTCCACTAGATTTAAATAACTTTTATAAAGCTGTGATGAACAGATCGTAATCGTTTCAAGATACTTTCTTGGCTCAGAGGTAGTTGAGAGATTCATAAAGTATATACATAGATGTTCGTTCTGATCGGACTGCTATAACATTATGTGCGAATTAATATTTTCAGATTACTTCGCGTATTTTATTATGTTTATAAACTACATACTCCAGACGTTTCAATTACTTTGCAGTAACCGTGATCACGGCAGACATCTCGTCTGCCCGTTAAAAATAATAAAAATATTAGTTTTATTTAAATGAAAACTGTAGTGAAGTAGCCTTTAAATGCTGCGATTCGTCCGATGAGTGAGAGAGCCGGTTACCCTTTCCCTTTTCCCATCCTTTCCTAACCCTTCCCTTTTCCTTCCCTCTCCATTTCAACATCTTTTATTTTTCTGATGTCCATAAGCGACACACACACAAACAAATTCTCTCATTTTATTTATTCAATTTTCTTATATAATTAATTTTTTAAACGTTGTAATATCATAAACATTCCTTATTTCATTTTTTTAAATGTTAACAACTTTTAGTACAGTACCACTCTCTATGTGATTGTTATTTACTATTTTTTTTTAAGAGTAGTAAAATTTACTGAATCGTGTCTGCTAGAAAAGAACCGATGTCCACGATACAGGCCTAGCCTAGTGTGGACGTCAACGTTTTATTGTATACTAGCTTTCCGCCCGCAGCTTCGCCGCGTGGAGTTCGGTTATATCGCGTTTCCAAGAGAACCTTTCCAAAGTCTGGGATAAAAACTATCCTATGTTCTTTCTCAAGGTCAACTCTATCTCTGTACCGAATTTCATTAAAATCAGTTCAGTGGTTTAGGCGTGAAAGCGTAGCAGACAGACAGACAGACAGACAGACAGACAGACAGAGTTACTTTCGCATTTATAATATTAGTAGGGATTGCATTGTAAAGTTTTTACAAATGTATAAATGAAATAAATAAATAAATACTTCTTGAACAGGTAGGAACAACTTTGTAGGTGGTAGAACCTAGCTGTAGTTTAGATACTACAGCTCGAACATGTTCTGTCTCGACCGTAAGTACCACCCTCTCACTGAAGATCGGCGTCAAGTAGTCTTTAATGGATGCGTTTCGTGCGTACGTGAGAGAGCCGGTTACCCTTTCACTTTTCCCATCTTTTCCTACCCCTTCCCTTTTCCCTAATTTTCCTACTCTTCCTTTCCTCTCCCTTCCAATATCTCTTATTTTGCTGATGACCATGAGCGACGGTACTACCTCCATCAGGTAGGCCGTCTGCTCGGTTGCTTTTTTAGCATAAAAACCAAGTTATTCATCATACTTTTTGAATATCAATAAAGGTACATCATATTTCAGAAACATCCATATTCGTCGATCCAATCAAGGCTAAGATTAGGTCGGAGATATTGGAATCCAAAAAGAAATTAAGAGCCGGGTACTTCACGTCCAGCGCTTACGTCCTATTGAAAATCATTGATAGAAAGAGAGACGAAGATATTGGTAATTTACTTCAGGGATTAGACGGTGAAATAATTCGGTGAGTTCCTGTAAAATCCCTACTAATATTATAAATGCGAAAGTAACTCTGTCTGTCTGTCTGTCTGTCTGTCTGTCTGCTACGCTTTCACGCCTAAACCACTGAACTGATTTTAATGAAATTCGGTACAGAGATAGAGTTGACCTTGAGAAAGAACATAGGATAGTTTTTATCCCAGACTTTTGAAAGGTTCTCTTGGAAACGCGATATAACCGAACTCCACGCGGCGAAGCTGCGGGCGGAAAGCTAGTATACAATATTTCAATCTATTCTTGTAGTCCAACAATTAGTAAAAAGCCAGCTATGCTATAATGTACAAATTTTTTGATAATTTTATCCATAAATTTATTAGTTCTGGTAGTTTTTTTCCCTAAATTAACATTTAAATGAAACTAATATTTTCGTATACTACGCGTATTTTATTATTTTAACTACATACGACAACATTCGGTTACTTTACAACCGTGATCATTAAGACGAGATGTATTACCTCTGCCTATACGAAAGTTATGATCTCATTATGGTTTCCAATTACCATCTTAGAATCTTCTTCTTTCTGGTAATTTCCCAGCTTTAGCCAGGGTCTGCCATACATGTTGTGAATAGTTTTGGCTAATTGTTTTTACGAATGCCGCCTGCCTGACATCAACCCTCTTTGGGAATAATTACCATGTCCATATATCTTAGGTACTATAATGGCTAAGACTATACAGGGTGACTGGTGAATTACTATCAATATTTAAGGAGGATACTCGGTACATGATTCTCATTCGAATTATGTAAAAAAAATAGGTACTTAATTTTTGACAAAATTTCCGTATAAATAAATAAAGTGTTGACACGTTCCAAGTGTTCCAAGTGTGGACGCGTGCGGCGGCGTGCTGATACAACACCACGCCGCCGCACGCGTATGTGTTGTGTGTGTGTGTATACCTAATCTGTAGGGTGTTCACACGATGCGTAATTAATTACATATCTTTTGGTTAACTTTACTTAGAAGTTTATTAATATTTATGTTATATTAATTTTTATTTCGTCATATATGATCGTCACAAATCACGTCCTTAAATATCGATAGTAATTCACCAGTCACCCTGTATAGTTCTTATTTTCATATTTCAGTTTGAATTCCCTTCATCACCTCGCAGTTTTCGGGACGCTGGTCACCACATCTCTATCAACCATGGTGCGAGTTATGGCAACGACGCCCATAGAAATAATTCGATGTAATATAATTTCTTATTTTTATAAGAATTCCATAAACTTTTAACTTATTAGATGTAAAGCTTTCTAATTCCTACTCACATGAAAATCTATAAACATTCAGATTATTTGCTAGATCCCTACTAATATTATAAATGCGAAAGTAAATCTATCTGTCTGTGTGTTTGTTACGCTTTCACGCCTAAACCACTGAACTGGTTTTAATGAAATTTGATATAGAGATAGAGTTGACGTTGAGAAAGAACAGGATAGTTTTTATCCCAGGTTCTCTTGGAAACGCGATATAACCGAACTCCAAGCGAGCGAAGGAAAGGAAAGCTAGTATTAAATAATAATTCAACTTTTTAAAATTTTTCTTTTACTTGAAACAGAATTAATTATCCTATGTCTGTCTCCTATCCACCAATTTTCAACCATATCCATACAGCCGTTAGAGTCATAAATAGTGTAACTAACACGACTTTCTGTTATATATATAGATATACAATGCTTTTGGTGTGACTAATACAAAATATAAACTTCCATACAGCCCAAACGAAAACTGGTCTAAACATGATAGAAACTAGGAAAGATTCCCTCAATCCGGACACAAATGCGATGTTCGACGTAGTAGATGCAATGTACACAGATGAAGATTACCACAATATTGTAGATGTACTTACTGAGATTCAAAACTACCCTAATAATACACCACCAGCAGATAAGATCTCTGAAGCTTTTATAATAGCTTCAATCCTGCAGCCATTTGCACGAATCCAGGGTACAGCGAAAGCTAAGCTGTTTCTTTCTGAACTGGATCGAGCTGTCAAGAACCAGCTGCTCATAGGTCGGCGTAGAACGAATGCAAGCGGAAAACATGGGAAAAGTACAGGTAGGAGTTATTGCATTTTTTCTACTTTACTAATATGTATATATATAGATTTTTTTATGAAAATATATGTCTTACTTGATGTTAACTCCATTATTGTAATTAAGATGTTAAATTAGAATTTACCAATCAACAAATTTTGTTTTTCTAAATTTGACATATAACAAGGATTGCAAATAAAATTATCATAACTTTGTACCAATCAAAAAGTTCATACAAATAAATTTAAACAAAAATATGTATATAGAGATATTGATTTAAAAAGGACTATTTTATTTATTTTTCTTGTATATTTTTACCGTATAGAACTTTCTACTAGTATGTAAGCAAAACATTTAAAACAATAATCTACACGTTGTATAATCCGAAAAAATATTAGTTTCATTTAAATGAATACTCGAGTTTAAATCTCATTATTAAACCATTAATTACAGTCGCCTCACCGACGGTAGTCAGAAAAGCGATGCGTCCGAAATCCCAAAAAATCACGAAAGCAATACAAAGAGCTTTACCAACACCAGAAATAGAAGACTCCACTGAAGTAGATTACACAAGCTACGTGAAAGACCCTGAAATGATGAAGAAACTCAAGACCAAAATGATCATATACAAACAGAAATTCCAAAAGATTAGGAAGAAAGAAAAAAAAATGAAAACAAAAAGAGGTCCTACATCGACCGCGTTTATAACAAAACTAGTACCACCGATGCGTAAAAGCAAATACTACATGAGAAAATACGTGAAAAAGAATCTATACAAGATGAAAACTACCCTGAAAAAGACTACTTACTTCACTTGGAGATTCCACGGACCTTACAAGAAGTTTAGGCCATTGAGGAAGTTTATGGGGACTAGTGATGATGTAGACACTGATAGACTAAGTTATAGAGCTGGATCTAACTCAGACTTGGAGATAGATGAACAAGATGAAGATTTGAACAGAATAACTATATCAATGGCAGAATCCAACAAAGATTCCACCAAAAATTACCTTCCAGAGTCTTCTATCAGCAAAGAAGTTGAATTAAAAGCTAATTTAAACGACGCAATGTATCACCCAAATAACGAGACAATAAGAAGAAGATCAAATGTTAGAAAAGTTAATAAAATCCGTTTAGACAGCTTCAGTGATGATGAAGCAGTTTTGAAAGGAAATATTTATAAGGTGTTCGGATATAGCAATGATTTTGCTAAGCAATTACGGACTTTAGCTGGAGGTCAGGGCTGACCATAAAATTATTTGAGAGTACATTGCTCTTTCCCTTTTCCCATTGTTCAATCCCTTTTCCCATTGCTCATTCCCTTTTCCCATTGCTCTTTCCATTTTCTCAAATCAAGAGTAGTGTGGACTGATGGAGACTAGTGGTAAGATTACATACTGTTATTTTTATCAATTCATTCTTAAATCTGATAATTAATCATTAGTCATGTTACTTATAAGTATAAAATGAGAATTTGAAGTTATTGTAAAATATATACGTTTTTTATGTTAATATAGATAAACAATTAATTTATAAGCAAAACGTGTTTTTTTAATACAGAAATTATTTTTTTCTATAAAACTATTTATAATCTTCTCTTCTATAGATATAAAAATGGATTGCTGTTCCTTAGTCTCGCTAAAACTCGAGAACGGCTGAACCGATTTGGCTACTTTTAGTCTTGAAATATTCCTGAAAGTCCAGGGAAGGTTTAAAAGGTGAGAAAAATTGGAATAATTGCCAGAAAAACCCTAAAAACAGTCCTTTTCTATATCCCATACAAACGTTTTTTTTTGACATTAGATTTGACAACTAACTAATATGTCAATCATTCTGTTTGATTGAAACAGGAAAAACCTGATTATTTATGGCCTCTAAGATGGAAAAGAGTTTGCCGGGTCAGCTATACCTACATATATTACTCTTGACCAAACTAACGCGGACGAAGTCGCGGGCAAAAACTAGTTATTAAATAAAATACAGTTCCTTACTTCACATATTTGTTAAATACAAGTGAAATTCTCCATATTGTTTACATTCAACAAGATGTCTACCGGAAATACGAACAAAGGTAGTGACAGCTTATTTTGCAATGAACCCAGTACGTGTTCTTATAATAGAGAGACTTTGAATTAACTATTGTGTAGTAACACGAAAAACTTCTTTACATCCTTAGAATGTAGATTCATATATAAAAAATATATGATTATGTCATATATATATAAAATAATAATATACTTAGTAAAAGTCTTGTGTAGACGATATATATACATACGTCTTTTTCTGTTAATTTGTATATATTATTTATATAACTACTACTACCTGGCAATTTCCCAGCTTTAGCCAGGGTCTGCCTTACATGTTGTGAATAGTTTTGACTAATTGTTTTTACGACCGGCCGCCTGCCTGACATCAACCCTCTTTGGGAATGCATTAATGAGTGATGTCTAAATACTCTTAAAGTACATATGACTCGGGAACATCACTTGTACTTGCCAGGATCGAACTCGCGCTTTTATGCATGAGAGGCGAACCTTTTAACCACTAGGACACCACTTACTATATATTATTTATACAAATATACAGTTGTAAACATAACAATTACTTTCTTCAATATCTTCAAAGGCATTTTTTCCGTGAAATTCTCATATAAAAACGTGGCGCCATTGTAAGTTTGTGAATATTTTGTTATATTTCCATGAATAGTACAAGTATTTGTATTTTTTGTTGTAACGGAAGCCTTACGCGTGATTGCACCATTAAGAACTGTATTTTTGTTATAAGAAATGTGTTTGTGAATTTTGTGATAATTTTAACCTTCATTACCAGTGACAGACGCTAGATGGATTGTGTATGATATATGTATGATAATCCCTACTAATATTATAAATGCGAAAGTAACTCTGTCTGTCTGTCTGTTACGCTTTCACGCCTAAACCACTGATCTGATTTTAATGAAATTTGGTACAGACAGAGTTGACCTTGAGAAAGAACATAGGATAGTTTTTATCCCAGACTTTTGAAAGGTTCTCTTGGAAAAGTGATATAACCGAACTCCAAGAGGGCGAAGCTGCGGACGGAAAGCTAGTATCTTTATAAATAATCAATATATATTATAATAAAACTTTTCAGATCAAACATTGACACTTTTAATAGATTAAACTAAAGATATGTTATAAGTCGCGATGGCCTAGAGGTTAAATGTGATGTTCCCGAGTCATATGTACTTTATAAGAGTATTTCGACATCACTGACAGATGAAGGAAAACATCGTGAGGAAACATAGACTTGTAATTTCTAATTGTCAGTATGAAATCACCAATCGCCTCCACCGTCCAAACTCCTCTCTCTACCAAATTTGAAAAGAACCTACTAGGGTTGCCTTCGAAGTACATTCCAAGAATTAATTAATGTTAGTTCTGGACAGGCCCAAGTCTTTTAGTAGGTTGTAGAGAGATTTATCTATTATACCTATCGCTACCACTTCTACCGATTACAAGTACAAATCCACGACGAACCTATTCCTAGTGAGTTCATTAGTGAGCTCGTAATACTTATTTAAGAAATATTATATGAAATGACTAACTCTTTACATAATTATCATAGTATTGTTAAGTTAAAAAATAACCTTTCCAGTTAGGTAAAGTTAGCGAGAAAACCAAGTTCCAGGGAAAATATCTTAGCGGCTTTTCGAAAGGAAATTTGCATAACACAGTAAATAACTCAAGTTACATAGTTTACTTAGCTTGGTTAAGTCTGAATATTTGTTAAGGTATGGGTTCCGTATAAAATTATATATCGGCGCTCTCAGCTTTAATAACGGATGCGACATGAAAATAATTTGAGGCTGTCATCAATTATTATTAAAACTCATTAGTATTCATGATTATTGTTAAAAGTAAAACGTAATCAAAGATTGTTTAAAAGGAGAATAGAACTATGTTTGAATCTTGGTATAAATATGACGTCTGGACACACGACGGCAGAGTTCAGTGAGTGTGTATCATTGAAGTATGTGATTATGAAGAACCTTCGAGAAATACAATAACATTAAGAACAATTGGAGTTTCGTTTTTAAATATCATGGACCGTACTAGAAGAAGTGACATTAGTAACGTCAGCGAGGCTGGCGTGTCTTTCTTTTAAAACAACGAATCGTGTAATAAATCCTATATCCCTAATAATATTATAAATGCGAAAGTAACTCTGTCTGTCTGTCTGTTACGGTTTCAAACCTAGACCACTGAACTGATTTTAATGAAATTTGGTACAGAGATAGAGTTGACCTTGAGAAAGAACATAAGATAGTTTTTATCCCAGACTTTTGAAAAGTTCTCTTGGAAACGCGATATAACCGAACTCCACGCGGGCGAAGCTGCGGGCGGAAAGTAAGTATATTATATTTTAACTTTATGGATTACATCATTAACAAGGGAACACTAAACTAGAGCGTGTTGAGTTATCGTCACAGGATTTCCGCGATTATATTATTGTCAATTAACCGCCCACCTTAAACTAGCAGTTAAATTGTACCTTAGTAGTAGTCAGCGTAAACTCTATACGTTCAGTTTATACGTTAAGACTAGTTTGTACTCGATATTACGTGAACTTTAATGTGTTTAAAAAAAATCGTAATAAATATAGTCGTGTATAGTGCAAATCCTAATAACTATCATTGTATAATAAGTATCTACATTGGAAGAAGATTATTAGAAGAAAGTTTGAGATGAAATATTTATATTAATGACTTTTAAAGTATTTTTTCAGAATTAGTAATAAATTAAACACTAAATAATTACGTTCATTTCGTCATTAGTAATATATGTATAGCTGACCGGGCGAACTCTATTCCGTTTTAAATAACTTAAATTTTTCCGGTTTCAATCGAACAGAATGATTGACATATTAGTTAGTTGTCAAATGTAATGTCAAAAAAAAACATTTGTATTGGAAATAGAAAAGCGCGGTTTAGAGGGTTTTCTCGGAAATGAATCAATTTTTTTTATTTTTTAAACCTTCCCTGAACCTCCACGAACATTTCAAGACTAAGATAAGATAAATCCGTTCAGCTGTTCTCGAGTTTTAGTGAGACTAAGGAACAGCAATTCATTTTTATATACATATAAGGATTATTGTAGTTGCATCAAAATGAATACAGTAATTTTAACTTAACCAAATTTAAGACTAACTGTGGTTCAATTCGCCAAACAGCATCTGTTCTTTTGATCACAGCGTCACCAGTTAATAGTAATCAAGATAATTATTTGCTAACACGCAAGCTAGTTCTATAACTTTTTCACGCGACTCTGCTCCTATTTATTATAATAGTAATGAACCTATTAAATGGATTATCTATATATAAAAGAAAATCGTGTTAGTTACACGATTTATAACTCTAACGACTGTACGGGTTTGAATGAAGATTGGTGGAGACATAGATTAGAACATAAAGGACATAGGATACTTTACATACGATTGAAACATAATAAGTTGATCAAATACAAAATCAGTTTATTTGCTGTCTCTAAACCAAAACAAAGTCGCGGGTAAAAACTAGTATCTTATAGCAATGTGACCTAACTAGCCATTATTACAACACACCAAACAAGTTTCAAGCCAAACATGTGTGCACAACTTGCGTTGTCCACTGTAAGTTTGCTTTCTCACTGTTTTCAAGTAAAGCAAGTAACATGCTAAAACAATGAACCAACAGACTTGAATACACTCAGACTTTGTATAGAATTTCTTCATATATATACTAGTATTTTACCGCGACTTCGTCCGTGTGCAGTGTCTCTCAGAGCTATGTATAAAGTATGTTAACAATACATATAGTGACGTACGACGAGGGCTTTACATTTATATAACACACATACAGACAGACAGACAGCGACATTTACCGGGTGAGGAGTGAATATATATACAGAGACATACATATGTACCGGAGAATATATATATAAAATTACACTAGCGCCACGGCTAATTAAGAAATAATTACACACATAACACTGAAATAAATGGGCAATGGTATGTATGTATAGACGTTTGTTACGCTTTAAGTCCAGATCCGCCTAAGGAGAATTCCCAAAGAGGGTTGATGTCAGTCAGGCGGCCGTACAAAAAAATAGCCAAAACTATTTACAACATGTAAGGCAGACCCTGGCTATAGCTGGGAAATTGACAGAAAGAAGAACTTCAAATATCAGAATAGGATATGTTTAAATTTCTATAGTTATTTAAATGAAAC